GGAGGTTGTTTTAGTACAGAATTGACATTCCTACTCCTCTGCAACGGCAGCGCTTTTTGCAAAGCATGTGCCCTTTTTTATGTGTGTTGTCTGTGGTTGATGAGCTGATGTATGCGTGTGTGCTCGTGGACCTTGGTGCCACAGTGCGGCAAAGACCGCTTGCCGATTGGAACAATGTTATTGTGTACAACCAACGTTCTTGTGACACAATTGAAAAACCTCTACAGAGACCTAGACGACCAACAAGGCCTGCTTTCATATTGTGTTTTTCCACAGATTTGTTAAAATCTTTTTTCCTGTTTGTCTGAATCGAAAAGGAATTCTCAGAACTTACAACCTTCAAAGTCCTTGTAAAGCACATTTAAATATGTGTTTGTCACACTGCAGAAAAAAGTGCTATTTACCACTTAACTAAATATGAGTGATTAAATTTGGCCAGAAAATACCGGAGGTTTCAAGGTATTGAAAAGACGAGGAGCCAAGCAGAGCCGGACAGCCTGTGAAAACATTTTTAATGGTCCACATGCCCACCGGGATTTGTTGCAGCCAATACACCAATCCTAGTTAGCGGACCGTAGACACGTGTAAGTATTGCAACCGGCGACTGAGCTGCAGAACCGCTGATGCTTTCAGCTCTAGATTTTGATTTAGTGTGGAGGGGAGAGGTTGCTATGGATTTCAGGCAAGCCCAAAACAATCACAACAGGGTAATGGTTTAACTCCACCATTCAGTAATGTTAGTTTACAACATGCATAATGGGTTTGGGTTAACATTAAAAGCTTCCTTTGCCTAAAGCAGATACAGGAGAAGGAGGCAAATGGACCAGCAGTGAGACGGACGGTCGAGATGGAGTGACAGAAAAAAGAAAATACTGATATGGACGAGACAAGCTGTTGATCGATTAGTGTACTGACGCAATGCTTACGACAGTCAGCATTTCTGCTGAGTGGTGTAAAAGTAGCAGATAATGGCATTAAGCTCTTACCTTGTTCACATACAAACACACGCTCTCGTATCTACAGACAACACACCGCAAAGGCGTGTACATTCAGTGAGATGCATCAGCTCGGCATCGGGGCAACACGGGAAGTGCCTACAGCAGACAGAGTACAGCTGAGCTCGCAAATGAGGTCATTTGGAAAAATAGCAACGCGAAAAAAAAAATAAACACACACTGAAGATGTGTACGCTGGAGGCAACGCTCTATCTTCTCTGTTGCTCTTTGTCTTTTTCTATTTTGCCCCTAAAAGAAAAGTGAGACATGTGGGTTTCATCGCTGCTAATTTGCACTGTTTTCTATTATCATTATTCTGAATAATTTTGCATGCTGAGACCTTGTGAGGGTGACTTGCAAGAGTTGTCTGCAAACAGTATATATATATATCTCTCTTAACAATAACATTTCTATCTTTAAAGACGTACTCTTGCTACACCGATTACTGCACTGCAAATAACTGAAGTTAATCACGCATCAGTCTATTGTGTTTGAGGTAAAACTGAATCGCTCTTTGAGTAGGAACTTCAATCTCTCCTGATATCTACAAAAACACAGGCAGAGAAGGAACAACCACTTACATTAAAGCACAAAACTCCACCAACACCATCCAATTAATCGCCTGGGACACAAAAGGGAGGCTTCTAATCGACACCGGACAGAGAACGAGCCGGGGAACAAGCGCGGTATAAACCGTCAGATAAGGCAGACATTTGTAGGCGCCGTGTCAACACGTGAGGATCGAGAATTTTAACAACTCCAACGCTGATGCCCAACAACAAATTCCTCCCATCTTTGGTTCACAGGACGTTAGAAGGACTCTTGATTTGTATCGGGCCGCTCTGACTGTGAGTGAAAACCTTTTGAACAGCTGGATCGAACTGATAAGCTTAAAAGCATTAAGGAGAATAAATCGTGCTGGAGGGGAGAGATCCACCCGTTGCTCCTTTATTTAGGATGAAAAAGAAGAAGGACAATAGGCATCCAGTGTGTGTGTGTGTGTGTGTGTGTGTGTGTGTGCGCCTCACAAACACACTGAAAAATATGCTGGTGCTTATAAGTAGACGTGTGTGATGGTTTCAGTCAGATGTGACATTCCTTTAGTGTGTTCGATCTGCACGAAATATGGAAGGCGCTACCCCCCCTCTTTTTCTCCAGCTTCCTTTCATCCCTCGTCCACCCCTCCCGTCTCAGGGGGAGAATTGCAAAATCAATAGTGCTAAATGGAGTTGCTGCGGAAGCCATTGAGTGTCCCTTCTAAGTGCTGCAGGAACGAGACGAGTAAGAAGCAGCTGTGACACCCCAGTTACGTCTTCTCCTTCTCTATCCAACACATTCATTTTCAACAGTCTCAACTACTCCCTGAGCTCCTCCTCATTACGAACTACTAGGCTGCAGTAGCTTTTACCTTTGAATTCCCTTCCTCAGTGTACCTTTTAGTAGAGATTATGAACAAGAAAGTATTGATATTAAACTCAAATGGTTACAGTAGCACAGTAACGCAATCTCAATTCCAGATGTTACACCGGTAATCTTGAATGACGACACCTGTAAAAATCGGCCAGGAGATCGCAGTTGGTTCCCAACATTAAACAAAGTGCCAACATCACAGACCGTACATAACCAGTTGACTCCGTACTATATTTACAGTTTTATCATATTATATCATCTGAATGCCTTTGACTATTTCGTGGGGAAATATACCGAATATACAGTGCGATCACAAATTCCCACAGTGGAACAAAACAGTAATCCATGTTACTACCAATCCCCTGATGCAATGCCCTTCATGGAGCAGATGGTTAAATGCCAGTTTATCAGCAGGAAGTCCTGACTGAGTGGTATTTCTCAGCTATTTGTCACAGAGCGCAGGTGCATCCAATAACACAAAAAATGTCTCGGCTCCACCGACTGTCATTTTGCAGTGATACCAAGAACTAGAGCTGGGTCAGTCCTAGGTGGCTAATATCAGATGTGCTTTTCCTGCGTTGGCATGTCAAAATGCCTGACGAGAAATAGCTGATCAGAATTTTATTTCCACTTCCAATAATGGCTACTAGTTACAATAATAATGAATCGAGAGAGCTCTTAAACGTATCTTTTGAAATACAGTCAAGAAATCACAACCATGGTTTTAAATCAAAGAATGTTGTTAAAAAGATTAACCAGCTTGCATTTTGACTGTAGTTTAGCGGTCTAAATATCTTTCTAGTATTTTCAGAAAGTCCAAATACAAAGTCACTGCCGCTGCTGCTGCCGTTTTCAAAGACGTTATGCTCACTGCTCTTTGTTGTATAAATACCACGTGCTGCTCCGGGCCACAAGGCAGATGTTGATGTCAGTTTTTATATTCAAAAAGAATTGGTTTCTCTCTGCACCAAGATTCAACAATCACAGAAATTCTTCAACCAAGTTTCACCCTTTTTTCCCCCCGTATGTAAGTATAGTAGTTAATTGCACAACATCTGCGAATACGCAGGGAGACACTATCCTAAAAAAGAGAAGCATACGAGCAGCGATGACTACACCAAACTGCACTCTTTTTATTTCTTTGACTCTTCCCAAATGTGCTCCTATGATGTCATCCTGTTATTAACCTCCAGTATTTCAGACTATTTTCCATTTATATTTAATGAGACTCTCCGCACAAGTGATTTGTACTGGTGAGCAACTCATCCCGTATTCTCTTTGACTGCACGGCATGCTTCCTCCGTGGTCCTGTGCAAGATCTAAACAAAAGAAGCAAATGGGATACCCAAGAGAATGAGAGCGAGAACAAGGGGAAGCGAGACTGAAATAGAACCGAGTCTTGAGGTTGTTTTCTTGTTTGCCAAGAAAAGGCAGCAGTCAGATACTTGGCTGCCCTTTTCTTTGTCACAGCCACCTCCACGGGCCTCCGGAGAGAAGAACCCCGGACTAAAGAAAAACACTTTTCATTTCTACCTTTGAACTGCAACAAACAACCACGGGGCAGGACGGTACACGTCGGCACTGATGCCGGGGAAACACACAGGAATGTTTGCATGCTGGCAATCGAGGACTGTTTAACTTCAATACACCAATTTCAACGCAAGATACAAACTAATATGATAGAAAGGATGAATCCAAAATATCAAAATATTGCAAGGTCAGAAAGACACGAGCACACATCCATGGAAAGAGACAAATACAAATCTATTTTAATCTGCTTAGAGAGCAAAACAAATCAAGAGCTCGGTGTGAATATGAAGCCTGTTGTGATAGTCTCAGTATGAAGTGGACATATGTCACATCCCTATTGCAAACTCTTAGATTCACACCTATTTTGTGAGCTGGGGCTACTCTCAGGAAAGGGGAGGCTCCCTTGTAGGTCCTTGGTTTATGGACCAATGGTCTTTTTGTTATTTTTGCAGTCTGATATCTCAGCTCATTAACTGGACAGTGAACCAGTGTGACTAGATGTCCTTTGGCTGGATGATTCTCATCCAAGTGTCCAACTTTCTGAAGTGTCCTTGAGCAAGACTCCAGCTGTCCAATAACTGGCCTCACACTACATAGCAATGTTTTTAAGGGAGGGGACCAAGTTATGTACAGTACACAATTGTGTATATCTACAGGATGGTTACAGTAGGGAAAAGCACTGTGCAACATTTAGGGAGAAGCAAAAATAATTTCTGCAGGACTGAAACAGCAAACTGCAAATTAGTTCAGCAACTCTGCAGAAGCATGACAGATAATAGAGGTATGCTGCTATGCGAGCTATTAGCCAGAACCAAACAGGCTTTCCACTTTGGGTATATGCTTACATGTGTGTGTGTACATAGAATGACAGTGTCTTTCTACCCTGTTATCTCACTCAGCAACGGGAAGAAAGCGATGGAGAGCCTCCGGTAATTAGAATGGAGAGGCTCCCCTTCCCCGGAACAAATGATGATAGCCCTTCACACGCTGTAAAAAAAAATCTACCTGAAACAACGCTCCCGCCCAAACAGGACAGAGACGAGCCCACACAAACACACTTCTCACCTGCTCCAGTTTCCAGTGGAACTCGGCAGGCCTGAACGTGTCGACCTGAGTGAAATCTCTCCTCAGCAGGAACACCAGGCGGCAGTTGTGGACGTACAGCGAGTAATGGTGGCGGTTCATTTCTGCAATGGGAAGGTCACAGACATGCACGGTCACCAAAACACTCAAACATCTGCTCCTTTGGCCTTCTGATGGATTGTTTTCTGGAGACATACAGCACAGCTGTGTGAAAGACTGAACTTTTTTCAGCATCCTCGGTTTTCTAAATCAAGCCACAGCTGTCAGCATGACCAGAAATGTGGTTACCGCATGCATGTTGCTGCTATGTCTGGTTTGTGATTATTGACGAAGTCTGTGTAACATATAAGGAGAGTCCTACATTCAAATAAGCTTAAGTGGGATGAGATGAGAGGGGTGCAACAATGTTCTAAAATAGAAACAAGCCATCTTTTCTTCATTTAAAATAAACTATACTTACATAAGATTAGAAGAGAGTACAATTATTACGGCGTCCAGTCAATGTGTAACTTAAATGTAACTTAATGAGAAGGAAGATGTGTCGGGCCTCGATTCACTGCAGCCGTGTATCATGCTTCAACCTCCCTCCAACTTGTTATTGCTCCAATCACATTACTCTTGTGAATGTAGACCGCTCAAATATTCTGTTTACTGTAAAATATTCACAGTCCAGAAGCTCAACATACTGTAACTTCTGTTTCATTGGGACTTTTACACTTTTACACATCATCCTAGTTTGTTTTTCCTCTATCGCCTGTTGTTGGTGTCTCCAGGCTGAGCCAGACGAATGGCAGAATGCAATAGGTGGGGATCTTTCTGCACAGCACATGTGATCTAGCCTCCACACTGAGCGTTCTGGTACCATTCATACCCTTCAGCCAAAATGTTGCGACGGATTGACGAACAAACCACTCTGCAATTTAGCATTACAAGTTCAGACCACACATCTTGTGAGCTAATAAGCCATCTGTGAGGGTATTTTGAAAGCATGCGATGTGCAGATGGCTTGCTTAATTACACAGTTGAGGCAGCGGAGTTGAGAGATGCAGTGGGCAAAAAGTGTAAAGTTCCAAAGACACTTCCCATTGTGGGCCTCAGTATGGGTCTATTTGTCTTGTTACATTTTGAACGGATGTTTTTTTTTGGATCATTTTATGTTCACAGTTGGCTTCTAACCAACAGAACACTAGGAAACCAAAGCGTAAAATGTCTCATTGTAAGGGACGTACGAAATAAGTTGTCCTCTAAAATGAAGGACAATTAATGTAAACTCAATGACAAGTTGTCATTCTCTTCTGACGTTCGCAGACTGAGCACGAGAGAAACATTTTCCTCACCAGTCTTGTCGGAGTTACACAGTAAGGTTTCCTTCTCGGCTCTGAGTCCCGGACTGGGCCCGTGTTTCATCCACGTTGCTATGGTGAACTGGTCTGTCAGGTTCTGGGGCACCACGTGATGTGGGACATTAGCAGCCTGATGTCCGTCGAATCTGTAGATGAGGTCGCTGTCGCGGCTGCTGTCTGTCAGCAGAGATGCCGTCCAGTTTGTGGAGGAGCTGGGGCCAGGAAGGAGGTCAGTGCTGCCCGACGCGGCACCTGGATGAGTCAGTCACATGATGCAACGCTGTCAAGGGCCGGCACACAGTATCAAGCTGCTCAGAACCCGGTTCTCTGGAGCTTTATTTTTCCTATGGGATATCATTGAGGACCAGAAGTCCGTTTATGATGTCATGTCATTTGTGCAATCAATGAAGGACATATGTGACATTACTGGCTGTCTGTCGTGGCTCATGTCACACAACACGAGTAGTGGTCGAATCAGATGGAAATTGAATTAAATCTAATAAATAACTCACATCTGTAAATCGCCGGCTCGTGTGACAAGACATTTTGATTGATTGCAAATCAACACTTTTTTTGGGGGGGGGGGGTTGAATGGGGCAATGAGGTGTTAAGAGCGTAAAAAGGGGAAAATATATAGATTTAAATATTGCACAATAAATATATATTTTTATTTTTAAAGAAAATAAAGATGTTTCAACTGCATTATCAAGTTTGTACATACAACGGTGAGAAAAGTATAACTGGAATTTAATTTGAAATTAAACAATTACTTCAAATTAGTCTCTAGAACTGAAATGGCACACTGGAATTTGGTGTAGTAATATACCAAGATGTCATGGGGTAATTTCTTCTTTCAATTACCTTTTTCCATGGATGTCATAACTACTCTTTGCTCTCTCATAGTCCCTGACTGTCTTAAAATGTTCCTCAATAGGATGGAACTTCTACTTTAACATCTTTTCTCTACTTACCACAGAGTTTTTGCAGAGACTTCTCAGAGTACGTTTCCCGATCACAGCCCTTCCCGATGTGATTTGTCTGTAGTTCTAACATCACCTTCACGCCAGACAGAGGACCTCCGCACGTTTCAATGTGCATCTTGGGAAACAGCGGCCTGCTTCCCGTCCCCGGCTCATAGTCCACCCGCTTGCTCCAGCCTTTAAGAGTCAACATTTTTGGTTTGTTTTAAGTTTAGTTAAGTATTTACTATTGAAAACAAAATGTGGATAGCTGGTCTAAGATCTCATATTCCTTTTATCTGTCAAGTAAAATTTGACTTAAACTGATCTTCTCTCAGCTTATTAACTTCCTTTTGCGTGACAACAGCTTTTACTATTTTCTACCAATCGCAAAGGTATCACAGACGTTATGTGGCTAACATTGTCCTCTGCTGTTAAAGGTGTCCACAGAAATGTAGGAAATAATTGATGTGATTTCTTTCATAGTGAGCATGTGGATCTTCACCGAAGGACAGCAATCAGGTTTAAGATTTTGAAAGCGATTCCTCGGCCGTTGTCCAGTCAAAGGAAGAGGGGAAATGGCCAGTCACATGACAGGCGAAGTAGAAAGAGGTGCTGACCTCCTTGTAACTGCCAGTCCTGTTGCCAGGTGTTATACTTTAATTACCAAGGTCTATCTATCCTGACTGTACGATATCCTTTAAATCGCGTTGGTGAAAGCGATTCACAAGCATCATTGTGTGCTGGAGTGTGTGTGTGTGTGTGTGTGTGTGAGTGTGTGTGTAGGTGGACACCTGGCAACTCTATCAAAGCCTACAGAGTATGATGTCATGACTCCAGAGAAACAAACAAAAAGACAAAAAGGGAAACAAACTGCAGGTAGGCAGGCGAGCAGAAGTAAGAGGTGAGATGGAGCAAGACGTATTTAGCCTTCGTTTACCTTCTTCAAAGAGCTGCTGAGCTTTACACACAGACAATAGACATGGATGAGGAACAAATGACTTGATGTTTTATTCAAGGCATTGAGCTGCTGTGGGTTAATGGTTTTATAACAGGATTATGCACTGCGGCCTTTTTATGAGCCAAAACCGCGAATCCTGCAACATTGATGAGGTTGTCAGCTGCTGGGACAGAAAGTGTCCCTTTGTGATTGTAATGCTGAGAGTCGATCGCCCCAGAGCACCATCTGGATCTGCACATCTCCCTTCTATTTGCTTCTGAATAGCAAAATACACATGAATCTTAGACATTAGGCTTTAATATTTCTGTGAGTGTCGCGGCAATGTTTTAAAGAATTTAAAAAGCAACCATTCCCTCCCTATTTCACTCTAAGTTTAATTGTGTCCATTCGCCCCTGAGCAGAGTGTTTTTTCGGGCTCTTTGTTGATCACTTCCTTCCTCCCTTCCTCCCTTCCTCCTTTCCCCCTCTTATCTGTCTCTCTGTCTCCCTCCTTCATTCCTTTGTGAGCTTGACTCGTGAGACGCTGTCAGCGCTGACAGGTGAGGCAGCGGGGGAGACGGGCTGGCTCGAATGCCGAGCCACAGGCATGTTAGAGGAGGGAAAAAACACACACACTCGAGTCAACTTTCCCTCTGGAGGTTTTTTTGTTCAGGTCTTCTGATTTCCTCGAGAGACCGTCATTCTAAAATGAGATAGAAGTCCCTCGGTGGAAAGGATATGCTAAAATGCTGCACTGTCTGCTTCAGTTTTGGTAGTATGGTTTTACATTTAAACAATATATCAGTGTACTTTATACCAGCATAGAAATAATAGAAGTACGTTGTAAAGTATTACAAGGTAAATCAATGCATTTTGAAGATATATTTAAGTGTGGGTTTCTTTGTCTCTGACCTTGCCATCCGGGTTTGCAGACAGGCTTGACATCAATATGCACAGCCACATCCTCCTTGGCTCTCTTCTGACCACAGTCAAAGGCCGTCACCATAATCGTGTAGCTCTGCTGCTTGTCATAGCTCAGCCGCTCCGTGTTTCTGATGTTTCCTAGAGGACACACATGCAAAGAATAAATATAATTCAATGATAAAGTGAAGAGCGGTTACGCTTATTCCACAATAATAAAGCAGGAAATACTTCTCAGTTCTCACTGAGCAGCAATTGAAATTTACTTTGCATTAAAAAATAAGTGCTCCTGAAAAACAAAAATAACTGTTTTTATTGAAGCTTTTCACTGGAAACTTACTAGTAATCTTGTATTGCATTTGGAAATCTGAGCATCTGTAAACAGTCATTGTAAAATAACAATGATGTTCTTCAGCTTAAGGACAGGGAGGGAAGGCTGAAGGACTTCTGGTAAATATATATAAGAATAAGAGTAACTTTTCAATCTCTTCCTGGTGGGTTTACTCATGAATTGTTTGGAAGCATCAGTATCAAAACCAGTTAAAACACACCAAGTACCTTTCACCGTGACTTTAAGTAGCATCCAGTCATATGTTCCTATTGGCATGTGAGCCGGTTTTATTAGACAAGTTGAATCCAAAAGTTCAAAACAAGGTGCAGTAACCTTCTAATGTGGCTTGGAGCTGCCTCAGGTGTGTGAGGACTACTCAGCCGTAGCCACCGAGCTTTGGCTCGGCCATTAATCAGAAGCAGACAAAAGACACACAAACAAACACTGACAGAGACTCCTGTGTATTTCATTGATTATTTGCCATTTTATACATTGGATGCTTTAAACCCTAATTGCATGGAACTAGACCAGTCCCGCGACTGTGGAAAAAATGTGTATGGCTCCATCGATTCACTAGGGATTACACGCCAGGAAGACAACAATCCTACAGTATGTTTCAGTGCAGTTTAAACCGAGTGAGCTGCTGCAAGCAACGCTGTACATCATCAACAAAGAACATCAAAGCAGAGAGGAAAAAAGACTCAATTATGTTCCAGTTAATGATTAAAAACATAATTTGTATGTGAGACTGAAGCAGATGTTCCTAAAGATAAAACAGCAAGCTGCATTGCAACGTTGTGCTGTTAGTTTGTCAAAGGTTTTTCCTTTCCGTCCATCGAAGGACCTCTCAAGCTACTTTTGTTGTTTGCATCTGCAGGCATGGCTGTCACTCTGGTTTCTGTCAGACATTGGAGCAGAAAAGATGATAGGAAATCAAAAAGAGTGGAGGCCGGAGGAGAGGAGACGCGGTGATCGGTTCAGAGCACAGCAGTACAGAAAAGAAGAGACGAGATGATCTGAAAATGTCAAAAGGAAGAAAGGTGAGGAGGTCAGAGTCAAACGTGCATCTCCCACAGTCACTATTAAACCACATGTGGTGTGGACAAAGTAACAGTTAAAGTATGCCATTTCAACCACATGCCACTTTTTGGACAGGTAAGATGATATTTCCATTTTAAAAACACATTTTACTCCACTTGGTTCAATTGCAGAAAAACTTTAAAAGTCTCCCACTCTGGGGATTTATGACCACCTGTATTAGGATTTTATTAATCTCCAAATAGTTATCAAAGGGACACCAATTAGACATGAAGTTCAATGTGTCACAAGGAGTATTACTCAACTTGTAAAAACAGTTGAATAATGAGTTTTGTGCCTCTGAGGGGAGATTTCTTAAGTTTAGCTCTGATGAGACTTCCCTCACTGCTTACTGGCACTGAGGTAACAAACTGCAGTCCCTCACATCACAGGAAAAAAGGCAAAACAGAAGGATGTTAACAAAAAGGCTCCAGTACTCACTAGAGTACTAGCATGGTATCAATTGAATTATGGTTCATACGAAGGGTCAATGTGAGAATGAAAAGGCTGAACGTGTGTCTCCATTGCTAATGCAACAATGTCACCGATCAAAGAGAATTAAAAGCGAAATAATCTGGTTTACCAATACGATCAACCCTGCGTTATTTTCTGTTTGCTGTGGGCAACGCTCCATGTAATCCAAACACAGCAACGGGATGTTTCACTAGAGCTTAATGTGTCTACTGACACGCTGTTTTCATTCGGTTTTAATTTCAGTTGACTTTAATCAGATATTCGAACTACAGTAAAGTCCATTGACTTTATTTCCGTTTGTTATCTTCTCATCAGAGAGATAAGGAGAAAGACAAAGTTAAGAAACTTTGGTAGAATTTGGTAGAATTCAACACACGTATGCATACCCAAAGCCCTCCGGTGTCTCGTCAGTCTACATTACGCTGCACTCAAATCAGCACGACGTGAGTGTGGAAGCTCAGCGAGTAGGCAGCGCAAATGCAAAAGGTGAAATTTGATATAGGCGGATGGGCTCAGAATAGCTCTCAATCAGAAATAAAACACTCTCCCCCGACAGACGGCGAGACGTCTGAAGCCACAAATGAACAAAACAAAACAAAAAGCTGTCAAAATTGAGGATGCGTCTTTGGTGAGTTACTTTTAAGCTACAATATGCACTGATGAAAAAGCTACTTCAAGGATCAAACATCAATGCGACAAAGAAAAATCAGCCACAGTTACCTAACCGCGTCTTCCTAACTGCATATCTAGAAGAATATTCATAATTGTTTATCTTTCGTTTAGTGCAGGTCCATAAAGAGAAGACTGGTGCCGTATCGGTTTATAGATCAACAAAGAAATGTTGATCGTCGTGCCAGACACACCTTGAATTTCTTGATATGATGGTTTTTATATACAAAGTCGGTCTATTCAATGTTTCCTACACGATTCATCTCAAGATTCAGTTGTTCACTATTTGTCAAGTCCATTTTTTTATAAAGTCATTTTGAGCCATTTAGATTAAAAGTCTGGCCTGAGACATCCAGCAGCATAGAGACACATACAGTTACAGAAAAACACAGAATAAGAGAAACTAAAAGGTTAAGACACAGTGACCTAACTGGGTTAATTAAAAAAAAACTTAAACATTTTTGGGAATAAGTTATATCAGTTCTTTAAGGTTTACATATTTCTGCAACATTTCCCACAATGAGGGTGGAGAGTACATAAAATCCCCCTTTTCCATTTCCGTTCTGGCATTTGGGACAAGGAGCATGAAGCAGTAGGAGAGAATGAGTATCGTCCGACACGTTTCTGCATGGTGAAAACACACATGTAGCTTGGGAGCAGATTTATAAATGAAGATGTAGCAATGACACAGCTGCCCCACACACTAACTTCAGTAGAGACTTTCACACAGACATTCTGTCTGTGCTTTTTTTATACCTTCTGTATAAAGTAAATTATCCTTAATATATTTATCTATTTTTTAATTTTAGTTAAGAGAGCTGGAGAATTGGTGCTACGCCATCGGCACACAACAAAGCACAGACAGAGAGATGGACTTCTGTGTCTAACCCGGTAGACCTCACTCCACCATATCTTTACCTAGCAAAGAGCTGTTGGCCGCCATATTAATGCTCTGAATGTAGAGAGCTTTTTGACCTTCTGAACAATTGTGTGTGTGACAGAATTAGCGGCCCTTCGAAGTACTTAACTTGACTAAAAACTTCATAAGAACAAGGCCTCCAGGCAGGCGGACAGAGTCTCGCTGCGCTGTCCTAGTTTCCCTCCTATGTCACATACTTCCCAACTGATCACATCATTTATAACTACAGTCCAGTGTCTCATCAGCCAAAGATTCAACACACACACATAAATGCACTCACACACTTACCATTGCGGTCTATTGCAAATGGCGTCCCAGCAGTCACAATCTCATAGTTGCAGATCTGGCTGTACTGTGGTGAGCAGTCCTGGTCCCAAGCTTCCACCTGCAAATTATAACCCTACATTTACCCCCAGTTCTTGACCGACGCTAAACAGACCATAAACAACCCCAAAATCCAAAAATGTACAAATCAGATTATTTTCTTGTGGAATTATTTCAACTTTTTAAAACTGCACGTCAGATTGATTGTAACAATAAAACAATGATGGGAAATCTAACAGAGCTCTAAATTACAGCAATATATAACATTTAAATACCTGCAAAATGCTGTCGTAGATTTTGCCCTCCGTTACCGATGCCTTGTAAAGGGGTTCCCGAAATACGGGGCAGAACTCATTGACATCGTCAACCTGAATGTGAACCACCGCCCTGAGTGGAGGAAAGATGGAGCGACGAGGGAGAACGGAGGGAGGATGCAAAAACAGTAGAGTAGGAATGAAAAGAAATAAAAAGATGGATGGAGGATGGGAGAGTTGAGAGAAGGAAAAAGCATTAGCAATAAAGTCATTAGAGATCATTAAAATGAATTAAGTACTAAAGTAATTTAGTGTTCGTATTTAAAGAGTTTGGTTTAGGCAAAAAATGATATTATCAAGTACACACTGATAACATTTGTGCACATTAGGTATAAAAACTGAGCAATAATTCAGATATCATGAAATGTTCTCTCCCGGTGACCTTCACTGACAACCACTTGTGGTGCATCTGAAGAAGCACATCTGGCTAATTAATGGCATTAGCTTAATGAGGCCTATTTGGAATGTCATGCTATGATAATGTCACACTTTCACACACACACACGTACACTTCTAGTCATTCATCATCCACTGGTGAAATGCATCCCAGATCCCTGAGCTGATAAATGCTTCTTCCTTTAGAGCCGAGCCTGCAGCCGCCTATTTCCGAAGCTCCTTGTCTCCCAACTGAAGGGCCGGAGGGTTTGATTGGCTGCTGTCGGTGCCATTCTGCCTGTCTGTCTGTCCATCTCTCTCTCACACACACACACACACACACACACACACACACACACAATATTGCTGGCCCATTAGGGGGACATATCCTCAGAACCAAAACCGCAACACTCAGCTGTCAATGCTGCTGTGATCATGGGGAAAATAGATAGAGGAAGAAGAGAATTTAGAAACAGTGGACAATCTAATCTAATCTAATTATAGATTTACGGTATTTTTTCCTCACCATTTTCAAATCATAGTTACTCTCCAACCCAGTCCTTTCTAAAGCAGCGTCCTAAAACCACTGATGAACAGATTGCTTTCAAACATGTTTGAAAATGATTCAAGATAAGTGAGCGTCACATCATTTCTTTGTAGATTCCAGCCTTTAAATATTGATTTGTGTAAAGCTGGTATGAAATACACCATTAAACATCAGTATAATGCAGTCTGTGGTTGTCTCTGTGAGGCTCAACTTCTGAAAGTTTCTTTGTTTTTCATTTGTTGTCAAAATTTCTTTTTACAACTAAATAGAAGTAATCTATGCAGCAGCCTTTGTTACTTTTGAGAAAATATGTTGTGTCCGTCCACTTTAATTAAGAATTACTCCAATAGCCAAACAAGTGAATCATGAGAAGACAATTAATAATTAGCATCGTTTGACAGCTTTAACACAGGGTCCGACAATTAGCATGCTTGTTTTTAGGCAGCGTGAAGACAGTTTTAGAGTAAAAACATGTCATCAGTGTTGATAAGGTCACAATGTAGAGAGCTTTTGCAAAAAAATACAATGTTGTAAAAGAGTTAAATGAACACTTTTCCGACATCATATTTACACAAAAAAGCATTTATTGAAAGCATTCATTTAAACATTAAGCTTCAGACACTAATTATTTCTTGCATTGTTTTCATGAGTGTCAAGCTCATATCGTATTCTATGTAGAGCACTATACAAATGTGGACACACGTACACATCCCGTACTTAAAAAGACAGGAAAGTGTATTCATCATATTTGAAACAGAAAAGTTAGCGCTTCACTGATTGATGTCCGTTACTCCCAGTAAACGGGGACAGAACACAGAAAGCCATTGTGGGGGGAGAAAAAAACACCACACACCCAAAATATAATGATCGACAAGTTCTGTCTTATTGACAGCGATGTAAATACACCCACAAAACAATAAGAAACACTGGTTGACTCACTTGTGGGATTTCTTCCAGTCGGCCCCGGAGGGTCCGGCCCCACAGTCGTAGGCCTGGATTATGAAGGTATATTCCTTCTGGCTCTCACAGTCCACAGGGCCACTGGCCTGCAGGACCCCCTCTCCTGATGTGCGGTTCAACACCACAGCCTCAAATGGAGCCTCCTCGCCGTAGATCTTAAAGGCACAAATCTCCCCTGAAAGGACAGGGACACATGCAGACATTTATGGGAGCTTTTACTGAGGTGAGGATGCCATCTGTGTTTTAGTCCTCTCTGCAGTAGTTCATGTCTTAAGCAGGGATTCGTGTTCAATTTCTTCTTCGGGTACAATTTGTGAGAATGTCACCAAAAACGTCTTATTCTCCTTTTGTGAATATATGTGTTATATCCACCAATCAGTCAGTTGGGAGAAAATTGACCAAAAACACAAACAAAAACACTGTGGTGACATTAAAAGAAACGGAGACACAAATATCACAGAATATTAATATGAATTAATTAATATTATATATTTTTACCACAACACCTCGAGCACACTTTGAATTTAAGCCTGCGTTTTATTTCTGGACACGGTGATCTTTCTCAGCACGAGCTGCTCTCAGAATAAACACAATATACAGCTCCTGGGGTGAAAGTGTGGAGGAAACTAATTTCTGATACGTGTCAGACTGTGCCAGCCCAACAAAAGACCCGGCCTGCAGAGTGCTCCACCATACGCACTGAGCGCATGGTGTTTGCACCTGTGTGTAGATCAAGCTGTGGGTCTCGATTCGTCTGTGCAGTTTATCCCCCTGCACGAGTGTTCATTTCAGGGATTTGGAAAATCTCTTTGCGCAGTGAACAAGAAGCTGTGACCCTGTGTTGGCTGACGTCCCTGAAGTCTCTTAGAACATAGCAGGACTGAGAATAAGCAATAAGCACCGTCTACAAACAAACGGGAGCATATTTGGTCTTCGAGCTGACCGAAGGGAGAGGGATCTGGTTTGAAAATGCCACTGATTGTAATATAGGAGCCCTCACACATAAATGTTTACTTGGTGTCGGGGAGCGGTGAAAGGTACTTCCACTTAGCAGTTGGGGGACGGATGCAAATCCATTTTACGCTCCATTTGTTGTGGCAAACTCATTTTTCTGGATCGCATTTAACAGGAGAACGCAACAGACTCATGGAGCGGAGGAAAGGGGGAGAGTGAGGGATGAAGAGGGGGAAGGTCATGTGCCAATGTATATGTAAATAAAAATGACAGACATTTCAGATGGATTCCAGCTGTGGCAGCAAATGTGCAGACACATGCACACTTTATTCCCCTCCACTTAGTTTGCGTCTCAGCAGCTTCAACCTGAGGGAACAGGGTTTTTTTCCGTGTTGTGGTGAATGGATGACGTGAATTCTAATATTTTGGCCTTTATGCACCAGCAAAGGGGCTCGTTTTTATCATGGATTTTTGCTTCGTGGAGTTTAACAGCACAACTGAAACGTTGTCACAGGGAACCAAAACAAATGCATCTATTCCAATCATGAGAAACAGTAGACAGAGCTTTTTATTCCTTAAGTTTTTATTATTTGTTGGATTTAATAATTACGTTTTCTGTTTTTGTTTAGAAAAAAAAAACTTTTTCAATCACTACAAATAAAGGCTCAAATGAAAAATGATCACAACATGTTTTAAGTTGCTTCTCAACATTGATGGATTCTCACACAAACCTCTTTCACAACAGACTTTTTAACAAAGCAGCACCGGTGTTTCTAAAAACATTAACAAGCTCCGTGTCATTTAAAGCTCCTCGGTACGCAAGCCAGCACAATCCAATATTTTGTTACGGTTATTCTTCAGACACTTTATGTCAATCAACCAGTCATCAATAATTTTGCAATCAGTTCCAAAATGTAATGACACAGTCCGAGTCTGAGTATCTACGGACTGGACTATCTGAATAAAATGCAGGTGAACCCTCATTGTAATCTGAACAGGGCGTGAAAGGGGCAGGAAGAACCGTTTTGAAATTACAGCCCTGATCTTCTGATACAAAATCCCACACTATAACTATGCCAACGGGCTCTTTAAAACCACGAGAAGACCAAGTAGACAAAAGACAAAGGGATCGTGACCTGTGATTTAAATTCATCCGCAGGTTTTGGGGGCGACTCCCACATGTTGCCAGGAAGACAATTATGTAAAACAGACAGGCTGCTTAAATCCTTTGGGTTAGAGGAGAGGCGCAATTGTGTCTCATCAGCATAAACATGAAAGAACACATCATGCTGTCCAATAATGTTCCCCACGGGCGACATGAGTGGAAGAACGACACCTTCAATTTATATCCGTGAGTGAAGAGCAAGTACTACGACAGGACTGTTCCCACGGGATGAACGCCCTTGCATTAGGGTTGTGATTCTCTGACCCGCGCAGCAGAATATAGGGGGTGACTTTTGTGTACTGAGATACTCCCAGTGAGTCAAGCCTCAACAGAGAAAGAGGAAATTCAATCATGTTAATTCCTCTTCTTAATCAAATCCTGCGACTCCATCTGTTTCGTCTGTGCCCGTATGTCTGTCTCTGTGTAGAGCATTAGAAGTATCAAGACTTGACCGTATTTGTGTGTGTGTTTGTGTGTGCGTGCTTGCGTGCGTGTGTGTGTGTAGTGAGGGGAACTGTAAGACCTTGATTAAAGGGAGTTTCTAGTATCGGGCGGTTTTAAGCACGGATTCCTTCACTCTGCTGCCCTCAGTCCTGTGATCACACTCCAGCTCCTCTTGTTTACTTAATCACTGGATTAAACTGCATCTCCCTGACAGACAGATACTCCATAAACACACAAGCATAGACATGCATATGCAATATGCATAAATGAGTTCAACACTTGATGCACCTGAGCTCACACAACACACATTTTTTCATGGTAAGTGTTAAAAATAGATAATTTTATTCATGCAACAGCCTCGTATTTCAGCTAGACAGCATTATATTAAAAATATTAATTTGATTTCCACCATGAGCTCTAAATACCTCAGTGACTCTGGAGCACATAGTTACGTAGGAGCAAACAACGGCATGTGTCTTCTTTTGCTCTGGAGCTCCAGTCATTCCAGCTTCATCTATGCTAATTTCTCAGAGGAAATACAATTTAGACAAAACAACATGAAAATGTTTGCATTGTTATGACAACGCAATTTAAATTTAAGTAAAAATTAGTTTCCAAAAGCTCCAAATGAGAATAAAAAGGCTCGTCTTTGGAAATGGTAGAAAAATATGTCATCATTCATTCAACTAGCTAGATGTATTAATGACTACAGCTCTCTGGGAGAATTATCAAAGAATATGAAAGAAAAACCTTTTGAAGGGAAGACATTTATTTCAATTGATCAATGTAGTATTTTATTCAGTTACATAGCCTTGTTTTTCATAATTGCATAATCCAAATAATATTATATATTATATTATTGAGAGAAAAAGGCATGCTTTGCTCCAAATGTAAATGTAATTTTATGTGTGAAATGAAATTTGAGTTTTGAATTTTATAAATAAAAATATATATACTTAATATTAAAAATACAATATATTGCTTATTTATCAAGGTATAACACTTTTTGTGAGCATATAAATGAATTAATCTGCAGAAAATCTTTTAATCTACCATTGGACCAAATATTGTCAAAAAATTAAATAAATCTATGTTAACACATGATTTTTGTTCTCCATTATTTAGTCTGCAGGCAGTCGAAATGCAAAAGCCTAGTTCTTTATACACCGCATGTGTGTGTGTGTATTTGTGTGTGTCTCCGTGCATGCGTGCATGCATTTGTTGAGTGGCGCAGTCACAGCAGGTTTGCAGTACGTTAAAGAGAGACACGCTGGAGCTATTCATCACGGTCGCACTGGGCTTCCTAGGAACGCCGGCCACTTCCTAATTGCATTTGGGAGATTGTCGCACTATCCACTTGACCTCAGGGTGACAAATCAAGGGCTCACCCAGTCAGGAGGCACAGACACACACACACTTTACTGCTTACCACTGGCCGCTGAAACCCTGGACGCCACAATCTAGGAATGAGGAGAATTCAATATCTCAGACAAAACACATTCATTCTGCTGGGCGCTTCGGTGGTCCGCTATGCAATTTGACAATTAGTGTTAATTGCAGCCTCTGAAGTTGTGGGATTAGAATTCATCGGATGAGCTGTGGCTGTCAGGGTTGCCTGTCAATTGGACGGTTTGAAGATGTAGTTGTGTGACCTAAATGTTGAAGAGGAAAGCTTTTAGCCTGTAAACGTACAACCGATCTGTATGGCTGGAGTATTCAGAGTGAATGAAGTCAGACCGCACAGCGAATAGTTAAATAAAAGGCTACTTGAGACTCAAACATTGCAGGGTCGGGTGTAACGACTGGGAGATGACTCGCCTCAAGCTAGGTGCTTAACCACATAACTTGCCTGGGAAAATGTATGAACCGAAAACGGAAAATACAAGCAGGAAGTTGTTGAACAAAGTAAGTTGTGCGAACTGTCCGTGGAGTCAAACGTTGGACCACAAAGCTTAGATTGTCCCCTCAGCTGAAAAATGCAGAGGAAGAGAACCCCCCCCCTCACCCCAATCAAATGGGGGGAAAAAACATCAGGTAAATTATGGGGAACACCGCTGACATGTAGGACAGAAGAGGTCAAAGTGAGTGGATTGAAAGTGATTGAGATGATTTGTTGCAGGAGATGAAAAAAAGAGGAGCAAACTCGTGTGAGGCAACTAATGCAGGACTGAACACCGCCATCCACCTCTTGAGTAGCTCAGGCTGCTTCCACCGCCTCTTTCCCACCTTCTCATGTTGCCTCTCATTTCCTCCGTAGCATGTGTCACAGTGGACAGCAGCGATTCCGCTCTTAACACCCGGATGCACAGCTCGACCGTCACCCTGCCTCTGACGCATCTCGCACCACTCTTTCTCGTTTCCCACCTTCCCCCCGCCGCCGTTCCACAGTCAGCTGCTGCTCGCCACAGATGAAACGACCCTCTCCGTCTACTTTCACCGGGCGCCTTCACAGCATTTCATGAGTAATAAAAACAATAATATTTCTGATTTTGGCACCGCTCGTTGGCCGGGACGATGTTTGTGACTTTTCATTATTTGGGAGATCCACAGGAGACAGGAAGCACTCTGCATCATTTGCATAATGTTCCTTTGACCACTCTCTGGGCTCTATC